TGGGCATGCACACAGACGCCCCTGGCATGCTGTCAAGGCACTGTGTCTGGGATTCAAACTGCACAGCCAGTTCTGTGGTGTCCTTGTCTTAATGTCCATGTCACCTGCTGGCCCCGGGGTCCAGCTTCTTATGAGCACATTACTGCTGTGGCACAGAGCTGGCACAGAAAATGTCGTGGAGCATAACTTACTCTTCTCAGAGAGATGTGGTGTCATGTCCTCATGTATAGCTGGTAAGACTACAGGTAATATATTTCTATGCACAGTAAGATTTTATTTTGAAGTACATTTTAAAATTTCAGTTAACATGTTCTCAGATTCTGTTACATTCATTCTGTAAGGCAATTAAAAATATCCTTTTATCCCTACCACATGTGCTCATTGGCTGATAGTTTTGGAAGCATGTGTGGACCCATAGTCATATTCAGAACTAAACAGAGGGAAAGCACATTGGCTTTTCAAGCAGCAGGTTAATGCTGCTTCTTGGGAGTTTCGCATTCAGAAAAATAACACATAACAAGAACAGCAACAAAATGACTCTAGCTTATGTAGTCTTTTTTTTTTTAAAAAAAATAATTCTTTTATTGAACTTTATTTATTTATTTATCTATTTTTAATTTGACTGGAGAGGGACAGAATGAGAGTGAGAGCAAGAGAGAGAGAGAAAGTGAGAAAGCAAGCCACCAGGTCTGTGACTTGAACCAGGGTTGACCATGTGGGAGTTCAGCGCCCTTAACCACCACACCACCTGCTGGCGCCCCATATGTGGTCCTTTTTAATAACTGATAGAATTCAATACTCTTTCAAGTGTCAGCAACAACAATTTAACCCAAATACCTCTTGCCAGATAAACCATTACCAGGCATTAGCAGAGCCTCACTGCCTCCTAGCCACTCCCCTAATGTCAGTAAGTCAGAGTGTTTCAGAAGTACTTTGGGGTTTTCTTTGTTAATGGTAGCAAGTGTATGTGTGCCGGAGCAGGCACACACATGCGTGAGCAAGTGAGCTAGAGAAGGAAGCACACTCGACAAGGGCTTGTCATGCTGGGACCCCCTTTATCCCTCTGGCTCTCCAGAATCTTGGGGTCCCGTGTGCACTTGGTGTGTTTTCAGGTAGACCCGGAGATCTGAAACGCCGTCAGATGTATGGCTTTCAGCAGGGCAGGACACTTACAGTACCACAGGCCTACCGTGGCTCGAGAGCCAGCCTGTTCCCCTACTGCGCACTGTCTCTGCTCCTGCGCCATTGCTCCCACTTACCCATCCCCAGTGTCTACCACATCATCTGAAGAAACCTCACCTGTGCCACACCCTGCTATGACAATGCCCAAGTGCATTCCAGGGATACTGGTATAGTACTGTCAGGGCTTTGGATTCCCTTGCAAGAGCATCAGACACACTGTAGAGGCGGAACTGAACTTGGTCCTTGGAACAACTGCACCTGCGTCCAGATGCCTAAATGGTCTCTCAGTCAACTGTACCAGCTTCTGATCCAATGCCCAAAACACAGAGGGTGAGATGGGAAAAGACGCCAGGGCGTCCTCTCCACCTTCCTTTTCCTCCTGTAACATTTATACTTGGCATGTGTTGGACAAATTACGAGCTATGAAGTTTTATTTTTCCCAGTGTGTCTTACACGAATGGTTTAGCATCTTGTTCTGAAATTTGGGTGATAAAAATCTTAATGTTTCATTCTTAGCCTTTGGAGACTTCACCAAAATGAAAGCATAAAATATCCCATATTGACACTGTTAACAGCTTCCAACCAAACTTCTTTTTCCTCTAAAATCAGAGCATTCTTCTCAATACGAATGGAGGCAAACAAGCAAGCTATCAGTGTGTGAACAAGTTCCACCTTTCTTCATATGCTAATATTCCATTGTGGGTATAGAATATCTGAAATGCCAGCACTCAATGGAATATGATTATAATGCTGTCTAATATATACTAAGCATTAACATATGCCATGCGCTATGTTAACAATTACCTAATTTTATATTTCAGACAATGACTGAAGTAGGTACTATTACCTTAGATGGCGTTTAGAGGGTCTGAGTACCTTGCTCCGATGGTGTCAAACTCTGACTCAGTCAGACTTACGTAGGGAAGGAAAGGGTGATGTGTCTACTAGGAGTTATTGGTAAAGAAATTTCATAAAAGGAACTGTAAATGACACAAATAATTTGGAAATAAAATTGCTCCAGAAGAAATTTCATAAAGGGAACTGTGAATGGCACAAATCATTTGGAAATAAAATTGCTCCACAGAATCTTGGAGCAAACATAAGGTATTCATTTCTTATTTAAATTAATGGGTCCCAAGTTGCTTCTCAACAATCATACTAGAGATTTCATCACATGCATTTTTTAGGAGGGCAGGGTGCTGTTCTACCACTAAAATGTCATAGAAAGATTCCTAAGAAGTGTTGAAAAGTGTAGAAAATTGGGGGGAAGTTCATAAACTAGGGTCCTACATCCTTCTAGAAGGCTGGAGCTCTTTTTCCTCTTGGTCAAGCCAGGGCATGGTTCTTTATGTGAATCTCCCAGTCCACAGCACTCAATGGACTGTGGGTCCATTTATCTCTCGATGTCTGAATGAGAGTTGGAGACAGATCCCTACCCCCGGCAGTGTGTGCTCCAAGTCTGTCTTTCTCTTTGGGCAAGCCACTTGTAATGCCTTCTATTTTTTTTTTTTAATCTCATGTCTTCTAGAATGATCTAGACCATAGCTTTCTAAGCACTAGTTTTTGGAAACAAACAAACAAACAAAAAAACTATCTTCTTGTGTAGACAGAAATCCCTACCACCAGAATGGGATTTATTCAGAACATGAAACGGTAATGCTTTCTCGTTTTTGCTTTCTTTAGGACAGTCAGTGCCTGTATAGTTTGATGTAGGGTGATCTGTTATTTGAATATTTTCTCTCATTGAAAGAATCATCATAAATATGTATAGTTAGTTAAATAATTTCTGTTATTAGAATATTTTCTCTCATTGAAAGCATCATCATAAATATGTATAGTTAGTTAAATAAGGAGATATAATTAAAAATAAAACAAACACTACGTCATAGGTATTACAAATCAAGAAAAAAAAACACCTACTAAATACTGTGTTAGATTGTTAAAAATATTTATGATACTTTACAACTCTTCCCATTAAGAAAGGAGGTATCTTTTAATACCCCTTAAAAGAAGAGTTAGCCACGTGGCCTGATTTGGCCAGAGAGACATTGGCAAGCATGATGCACATAGGACCTTGAAAAGCCCGTGTGCATAACAGTGTGTTCTATGGCTGCTTTTGGAACTCAGCTGTTCTATAAAGGAGGGAGGTTAGCCATAAGTAAACCCAGACAGAGAAGCCAGTCTTTTTTTTTTTTTCTTTTTTCTTTTCTTTTCTTTTTTTTTTTTTTAGAGGTTTTTGCTAAAGGTTGGGTGGAGGTTTTTGCTACAGGTTGCGTGCGCTCACCAGAGAGACAGAGAGAGTTAGAGAGACAGAAAGCGAGAAATCACCCCCCAGGGGAAATGGCCACACCACAATCCCTTCTCCTTCGTTCTCCTCTCAGTATCTTGGGCACGCATGCACACTTGCCCGGCGTGAGTTTAAGCCACCGGGTCCGGGACTCGAACCGTAGTCGACTACATGGGAGTCCAGCGAACTGCTGGTCCCGAGAAGTCAGTCTTGAAAGTAAAGTGGATGTTGCTTTTTTTTTTTCAGGGGAGTAGACTAAATCTGATACATGGAAACTTACATAGTTTTTAAGAGAGTTGTATAAGCATAGACAAAAAAAGACAGTTTAAAATAAAAAGACACCTCTGTTTCTAAGTTTTTATAGGCAGGAAGAAGACTATAAAAGCCATTTAGCTAAAAATACAGCCCTTTCATTTAGGGGGAATAAAAAAGTCTCATCAAGACAGAGCCCAAATCCCTGAGTACAGAATGAAACAATGAACTAGAGAACTGCTCCCAGGGAGCAGAAAATTCTTTGTCCCCGAGTAAGAGGAACTGGAAATGCAAACCTGTCTCAATTCTAGAATTACTCTTGACCAGTGACTGCTATGTGGATTTTGGTTATTTTCGTGGCTATGTTGATCTTGGCTCACTTTTGAATGGTGGGTCGGTTGTTTTAGTTTTCAAGTTTCTGAACAAAGAGGAGTTGCGTTCAGGCGATCTCACACTCAAAAAAGATGCAGATCACATGGTACTGGACGAGAGCCTGATGCCATTATTATTTTTTTTTTCCTTTTTTTGGAGAGTTTTCCTGATGCCATTATTATTATTTTTTTTTCCTTTTTTTGGAGAGTTTTTTTGTTTTTTTTGTTTTTGTTTTGTCTTGTTTTTTTTTTTTTTTTTTTTTTTTTGCTATAGGGCGCGTGCGCTCGCCAGAAAGACAGAGACAGAGAGACAGAAAGCGAGAAATCATCCCCCAGGGGGATGGCCATGCCACAATCCCTTCTCCTCCCTTCTCCTCTCGGGATCTTGGGTGCACACACATGCACATGCACACACACCCGAAGTGAATTTTAAGACACTGGGTCCCGGTCTCGAATGCTGGTTGACTACCTGGGAGTCCAGCAACACCTTTATACCATCTGCTGCTCCCTCCTTCTTTAATCTGGGCTTCTCTATTTATTGGGTCATTGGGAAAGTCATGACTATTTTTCTGTGCAAAAATTAAGTAAAATAGAAACAAAAGCTTGAAATGAACGTAAGCACTTGAACTTGGCTTCTTGCTGCTTTGGTAATGTAACCATCCTGTGCAAAGCTTTGCCTAGTTCCTAGAAAATGAAGGGTATGTGGCCCATTGCCTCTACTGTCTGAGCCAACAGCCAGACATCTGAATGAAGTGATCTGGATGAGACAGGCCCCTGCCAATCTGTTAACTGACTGGAAATGAATGAATGAGCTAGGTCCTGAGCAGGAGGACTAGACAGCAGAATCCTGAGTGATAATAATAATAATAAGAAGACAGTGATTTTGAATTCTAAATGTTGGTGTGTTTTCTTATGCAGAAAAATTTATACTAATACTTTTAGTAAGATATAACCTTATTTAGGTGTTTTCAGTAAAAGTTGTTTAATTTTGCTGAGGAATGACAAAAAATGCCAGTCTTCTCTGACATTAGTTAGTCTTTTAGGCTGATTCTTATGACCAGAGTTCAAAATACATGTAGTCCTAGAATGAAAATAAAAAAATAAATACAATTAGGTTGGCTTCATAATATAAACAGGTACAAGTATTAAGATGAGAATATGTTTTAGGTTATCTGTGCTATAATTACACAATTATGAAGTGTATTAAAAAGCAATTCTGAGACTATGATCGATGGGAAACCAACTTCTAAGGGCCTAAGAATGATGGTTTGGCTGCTGTTAAATATCAAAGTAATAAACTTAAGTTTAAAGGCCCTTAGAGAACAGTAAGTGATTTACCTCATTTTATTTATATAGAGAGTTTTTAAATTCATGCATACTTATTATAGGAGGAAAAAAGAAGGGGAGAGTATAGTCTTAGTATCTCCCAAACCTACCATTTATATTTTTATTCAAATTCTTTGCAGACACACATAACTGATACTACAAGTTATTATCCTGTTCTTTCACTACATAAAATATTCTGAATGTTTATCTTATTAAAGTTTTTTGAAAATCTTTGTTTTGAGCCTTTAGATAATTTGTTTTAGAGATGTCTTGTAATATGTTTACTGCATCTCATACTTTTACATTTTAGGCTGTTTTAATTTTTTGTTGTTTATTGAAGTAAGTTTACGAGATAGAATTTATGTTTCCATTTACTGTAAAGATTATGCTAATTACTTGTTTGTATCTGAGAGAATATGAACATTAAATGTTATGATGGGTATACTCAATTTATTTCCCCAAAGTACCTGTATCTCATGAGCACCAAATCTCTTAAGCCTTCATAAGCATTAAGGGCTGATCATTAGAAATAAAAATTTTATTATGTGATAAATGAAAGGGGGTTTTTCATTACTTTTTGTTTTTCCTTTTTGCTTCTCTGTATGTTTTGGGAAACATTGTCTTATGTTTATTGGTTATTTCCGTTCTCTCTTTGATAGTTTTAATTTCTTTTCATGTATACATATATATTTTATTTTTTTGGAGAGGTTTTTCACTATAGGGTGCGTGTGCTCGCCAGACAGAGAGAGACAGAGAGACAGAAAGCGAGAAATCACCCCCCAGGGGGGATGGTCACACCGCAATCCCTTCTCCTCCATTCTCCTCTCGGGATCTTGGGAACACACACACACGTGCCCGGCATGAGTTTTAAGCCAACGGGTCTGGGACATGAACTGCAGTTGACTACTTGGGAGTCCAGCAACATAGCCATTATGCTAACTGCTGGTTCCCCATATTTTTTTCTATATGTCTGTTGAGGATGTGATTTTTTTCATTTAAATATAATTTGTATTAATGTAAGAATATTATTCTTTGGTCATCTTTGCAGCATATATTTCTCTGACTTGATTATTTTTTAAAATATTTTGGTTTGTTTTGAAGTACAGAAGCCTAAACCATTCAGATTTAGCAATCTCTTTCTTTGTGATTTCCTTGCTTGGAAACACATTTGTCATCTAAAGACAAAATGTAGGGGCTGTTTACTTATTTATCTATGCTCAGTGATTCAACATCTCTTTCATTTTGCTTCCCTTATTTATTATTTTCTTTTACTAACTCTTCAGTTTTAGCTAATTAATATCGCTCATTAATGTTTTTACTTTTTTTATTCAATAAATATTTATAGCCATATAATTTTCTTTAACATCTTTACTCACATACCAAGACATATTTTGGAATTTAGATTGTGTTTTTTTTAATACCTGAGCTATTTACATCTTTCCATATACATAAAACATTAAGAAATATTTATTGAACTAATTTTTAATTTGCTCTGACCTCAAAAGCTGAAAGATAGTCATTCCTTGATATTTACTGACATTTGCTTCTTGGTCCACTATGAGATCAATTTTTGCAAACAATGTTTAAGAGCAATGTGTGTTATCTAGATGTTTAGTACAAAATTTTACATATGCCTATTCTGTAAAGCTTGTTAACTTTGTGTTCAAATTTTAAATAACTTTACTAATGTTTTGTCTCTTATACCCAGTAAAAATGGAAAGGTGTGAGTAAACATTCTGCTAGAGGATAAAATAAAGTCTGCTTATTTTAAAATATCTCTCTAACTTCTTATCATGTATCAATATATGGAATGCCTGGGACCAGCAGTTAGCGTAATGGCTATGTCGCTGGACTCCCATGTAGTCGACCGCGGTTCAAGTCCCGGACCCGGTGACTTAAACTCACACCAGGCGCGTGTGCGGGCGTACCCAAGATCCTGAGAGGAGAATGAAGGAGAAGTGATTGCGGTGTGACCATCCTCCCTGGGGGGTGATTTCTCGCTTTCTGTCTCTCTGTCTCTCTCTGTCTGTCTGGCGAGCGCACGCGTCCTATAGCGAAAACCTCTCCAAAAAATATATATATATATGTAACATTTTTAGGGCATTCTAGCTTTGGCCTCCTTTGCAATATGAATTCTGAACCCATAATGAGATTTTTGGAAGGAAGGCTATACCGAAAAAGCACAACTTGCAGTTGACTTAGGTGATTGGAGGAGAAATAATAGCAAAGATGCCATGGTATTTCAGAAATTGTAATTTTCGGTTAAAAAGAATAAAAATAGACTCACAATGAGAAAACTTGCTCCAAGCATCAGTGCTTTAATTTTAACATCAAGATCAAATGGAAACTGTATTCCAAATTTATCAACATCAGTTAATAGTCCCGTCACAAAGCCAGGGCAGTGTTTTGAAACATTTCCAAGTACAAGTTCTTCATCCAGAGACAATAACTAAGAGGTAAAAAATAGATCATTTTAGGAGAAAATTCCTAAAATAAAACAAAAGGTATCCCTAAACCAATTTTAGGAATTCATATGACCCTTTTGAGTTATAATCATAACATAATTAAAATGATAATGAAGCGTGGACACCTAATAGACTAAACACACATCTATAGACAATTTCTACCTAAAAGTAGATCTTCTAATTTTCTGAGTACACGTGCACACACACACACACACACACACACACGCATATTCGAAAAAAACTACATATGGATTTCAAATAGTTTTGCGCCAGACTAAACTCATTTTTTTTTTTTTTTACTTTTTTTTTTTTGGAGATATTTTCACTGTAGGGCGTGTGCACTCGCCAGACAGACAGAGAGAGGCATAGAGACAGAAAGCGAGAAATCACCCCCCAGGGGGGATGGTCACGCCGTAATCCCTTCTCCTCCATTCTCCTCTCGGGATCTTGGGCACGCACGTACACGCGCCCGGCATGAGTTTTTTAAGCCACCGGGTCCGGGACATGAACCGCGGTCGACTACATGGGAGTCCAGCGACATAGCCATTACGCTAACTGCTGATTCCCTAAACTCATATTTTAATTCCATTTTTTTTCCCAGAAACTTTTCAATTTTTCTCTCTTATTTAGAGCTTTTTCTTTAAAATCAAAACATTCTAAGGACATGCTTTTCAAAAAAATACCTCACCTTCAACCATGTGCCCCTATCCAGCCAGAAACAGGATTAAGGTAGTCAGTGAAGACGAGTCATGGAAGTGCCAGTCAGTTCCTAACTCAGTAATGTGAGGAGATTGGTTTATAATGGAATTGTTTTTTTGCATTAGTTTTCAGAAACAAACAAACAAAAAAACACCTCAACTGGGACCAGTAGATGGTACAATGGTAACATCACTGGCCTCCTACATAGCTGACCACAGTTCAAGGCCCTGGACATGGTGGCTTGAAACTCATGCCAGGTACGTGTGTGTGCATGCCCAAAATCTTAAGAGGAGAATGCAGAAGGGTTTGCAGCATGGCCATTCCCTCTGGGGGTGATTTCCTGCTTTCTCTCTGTCTCTCTGGTGAGCACATGTGCCCTATAGAAAAATATCTCTAAAACAAAAACAAACAGAAAAGCCTCACTTGGTGAGGCCCTCACCTTAAATTTTTTAACTGTGATGAGCACCTCCCTTACCTCACTGAGCCCTGGTCCCATAACTAGCTAGCACTTTATCTCTCCCCTCCCTTTCATAGCTAAAGTATTTAATGGACCATCCACATTCACGGACAAGTTGACTTTCTTATAGCATCATGATCTCTCTTTCTTCTCTTTATTCCAAGAGTACCAGCTATAAAATTGTTTTCCTGCAGGTCAGCAGGTGGTGTGGAGGTTAAGGCCGCTGGATCCCATATGGTCAAATTCGCAGTTCAAGTCCCAGACCCAGCAGCATGAAAATCATGCTGGGAGTGTGTACGTACATGTTCGAATTCCCAAGAGGAGAATGGAGGAGAAGAGACTGCAGGGTGGCCATCCCTGCCCCGGGGAGTGATTTCTCCCTCTCTCTCTCACACATTCTCTCTGGCTGTCTCTCTCTGGCAAGCCCACGTGCCCTATAGCAAAAAATAAAATAAAGCGAAATCAATTTGTCCTTCAAACTTAAAAGGAATAGTGGTTTACACACCTTAGAGAAAGTTTCAATGACCCGAGAATGAAGGAGAATGTGTCGTATCGCTCTGTGAGATGTAACACTCAAGCATTCTGAGATCTGTAGTTGGCAAGAACGAGCCTAGATGGGCTTGAGTTCCAGAACTGTGTTCATCAACCACTCTCTTACTTAGCTTTCCAACTTAAACAGTTGAGACCTGTGTGTTCATTTTATAATTTTCCAACCTAAACACGTAGTTATAATTAATTCGCTTAAGTATGTCTTACCTAACCAGTGTATGCAAGTGTCAATCAGAACCAGTTTCACTGGAGGTAAATGACATAATCCGAAGGAAGAAACAAAAGGTCAGGGACCACATTATAGGTTGTTTGCAAATGTTTTACTAAATAATTCATATATTAAACAAACAAAAAAACATGTCCTTGATGAAATTTTATGACTCCCTGTTTTTTGCATGTCTAATATGTTATTGAACATATTCTCCATTGCTTAGAAATCTTCAGATTTAAATAAATGGAGTAAGTCATTTAGTTTTATTAACTACATTTAGTATATTTAGTCATTAAAAATTCAAATCAGTATCTAGATATTAGCTATAATCTGAGAAGGAAATTAGTCAGCACATAAAACTTTAAAAATTGTATCTTACAAATTTCAAAATTTCATAAGAAGTAAAAGTTATACTAAATAGCATTGATATATAATTTATAATTGACATCAGATTACATCATTTTCGGTTGCAGTAAAATTTAATTTTCTTTTAATGTCCTTGAAATATTAAATACTAAACTTGTTATTTGACAGCTATATACTTAAATATTACCTTTAGGGACCAGCAGTTAGCGTAATGGCTATGTCGCTGGACTCCCATGTAGTCGACCGTGGTTCGTGTCCTGGACCCGGTGGCTTAAAACTCACGCCGGGCGCGTGTCCGTGCGTTTCTAAGATCCCAAGAGGAGAATGGAGGAGAAGGGACTGCGGCGTGGCCATCCCCCCTGGGGGGTGATTTCTCGCTTTCTGTCTCTCTGGTGAGCGCACGCGCCCTAAAGCAAAAACCTGCCCCCCCAAAAAAATAAAAAATAAAAAAAGATGCCTTATAAACTACATGAATTTGTAGGGCTTAATTAAATAAGGACAACTTGAATTAGTGATTCAATTAAAAAAAAAAAACGGAAACAGGTATCATGATAACATTTGTATTTTTCTTTAATTATCTGTATTAATGATCTGTATTTTAAAATAGTCAAATAAATAATTTGAACCTGATCATTTTAAAGCATTATAAATTACTCACATTAAAATTTAGATCCCTGATACAGCTGGAAATTACACAAGGCCCTCTGATTTTCATGACATCTTCCTTATTCTCATTTTTTAGTTTAAATGTTGGCAAAAACGGATGAAAGTTTTGATAAACGTATCCGATTGTTTCACCAGGTGGAGCTTCAACCTTTAGCTACAAAGGATTGAAAAATATACCATTGATTAAATGAGCTATCTTAGATGGTATTTAACTGTGTGCTATCTTTTAGCTGAGCTTTATTATAGAACTGAAGAGAACCTGCTGTGTGTGAAGGGTAGCCAGGTGTCTCTCCAGATGGAAACCTGGGACTTCCACGTGGGCTCGCCTTGCAGAGCACCACGTTTACCAGCGCTCCATCCAGCCCCATGAGATACACTGCTTCCCTTGAATATGTTTTCGTTTTCTTCTCTCCCTCCCTCTATGCTTTCTTCCCTTCTTTCTCCTTTTGCTACATATAAGTATCACCAACTCAAAAATGAATAAAGACTGCCAAGCTGAGATGGCGGCAGTGGGGCTGACTGTGGTGCAATGGTTAGGCACTACTCGAGAGAAGCTGGATGGTAAGGGTGACCCAGGCTTGAATCCCCAGCCCAGTCAGCCTGAAACGTATGTGCAAATGCTCAAGATCTAACGGGCTGGAAGACTGGAAGAAGAGGGATGCAGTGTGACCAAACCCTGGTGAGGAGGGTCCTCTGTCTCACAGGAACACTCATGCACTCTCTCTTGAATAAGGGGGAAAAGAAAAGGGTGGCAATGATGGTATAGTTTGCGAAATGCCTCCACATTTCTATAAAAAGAGAAAAAACAAGTATGACAGCAAAACAAAACTAAATCATGGTCTTATTCATTATCAAAATTCAATGTGGGAGTGCTGGCAGATGGCATGGTGGGTAAAGACACTGAACTCCCTCATGGCTGATAGTGATTCGAGTCCCGGACCTGGCAGCTTGCTTTCTGATGTTCTCTCTCTCACTCTGTCCCTCTCTGGCCAAATTAAAATATAAATAAATAAAGTGAAAGAAAATAATTATTAAAGAAAGAAAAGTTGAGGAGAAGAAAACATAGCCTTCAGGGACCAGAAGGTGGCGTGGTGGTTAAGATGCTGGACACTCCCACATGGCCAACCACAGTTCGAGTCCCAGACTTGGTGGCTTGCTTTCTCACTTTCTCTCGCTCTCTCTCTCTGTTTCTGTATCTCTCTCTGGTCAAATTAAAATAAATGAATGAATAAATAAATAAAATTAAATAATTCTTTAAAATAAACAAGCAAATAGAAAACATAACCTTAAATCTCAAAACACAAGCAGATGTTAGGAAACAGGTGGCAGGAATAACTTGTCCTCTAGAAAATCCACACATTACTAACAAGTATTCATCCAAAAAGAAAATGAATCCACTCAGAGTAAATGCTCCAAGGATCAGTCTGATAAACACAGCTGAAAACAGGATGGAATTTCATAACCCTTAATCTGCTGGGTGTTCAAGAGGACCAAAGAAAGTTTTCATAGTGATGAAGCTGTCTTGACATAAAGTCTCCTAACATTATACATTTAGGACTCTTTCATGACAAAGCCTTACATTGACCAAACAAACAAACAAAACTCCTGGGAGTAGAATCAAAGCTGAACAAGACAAGAAGACCTGGAGTAAGAGAAAAGTCTTTTTTTTTTTTTTGGAGAGATTTTCACTGTAGGGCGCATGCGCTCACCAGACAGACAGAGAGAGACATAGAGACAGAAAGCGAGAAATCACCCCCCAGGGGGGATGGTCACGCCGCAATCCCTTCCCCTCCATAGGAGAAGAAAACATAGCCTTCAGGGACCAGAAGGTGGCGTGGTGGTTAAGGTGCTGGACACTCCCACATGGCCAACCACAGTTCGAGTCCCAGACTTGGTGGCTTGCTTTCTCACTTTCTCTCGCTCTCTCTCTCTGTTTCTGTATCTCTCTCTGGTCAAATTAAAATAAATGAATGAATAAATAAATAAAATTAAATAATTCTTTAAAATAAACAAGCAAATAGAAAACATAACCTTAAATCTCAAAACACAAGCAGATGTTAGGAAACAGGTGGCAGGAATAACTTGTCCTCTAGAAAATCCACACATTACTAACAAGTATTCATCCAAAAAGAAAATGAATCCACTCAGAGTAAATGCTCCAAGGATCAGTCTGAAAACACAGCTGAAAACAGGATGGAATTTCATAACCCTTAATCTGCTGGGTGTTCAAGAGGACCAAAGAAAGTTTTCATAGTGATGAAGCTGTCTTGACATAAAGTCTCCTAACATTATACATTTAGGACTCTTTCATGACAAAGCCTTACATTGACCAAACAAACAAACAAAACTCCTGGGAGTAGAATCAAAGCTGAACAAGACAAGAAGACCTGGAGTAAGAGAAAAGTCTTTTTTTTTTTTTTGGAGAGATTTTCACTGTAGGGCGCATGCGCTCACCAGACAGACAGAGAGAGACATAGAGACAGAAAGCGAGAAATCACCCCCCAGAGGGGATGGTCACGCCACAATCCCTTCCCCTCCATTCTCCTCTCGGGATCTTGGGCACGCACGCACACGCGCCCGGTGTGAGTTTTAAGCCACCGGGTCCGGGACACGAACCGCGGTCGACTACGTGGGAGTCCAGCGACATAGCCATTACGCTAACTGCTGGTTCCCAAAAGTCTTGATAAAGGTGTAGGAGGTAGACCGAGAAGATATATCTCAAAAGAAAACAAGAAGACATATTTCTAACATTTTACAGTAAAACAAAGAGAAACCCCTAGAAATCCCTCGTATGTTGCTAATCAACACAAAAGGAATTGATGGTGAACCAATATTGATGTGAACATATAGTGACAGTATAATTAAAAGAGACTATGTCCAAATAATGTTCTTGTAGATTTGCCCTCAAAAGCTGGAAACCCTGTTCAATGTTACTTGGAAATAAATATTTTTTAAAATGATAGAAGATATGAATAAGCAGAATAAATCAGAATGGGAAAAATCAGAAATGAGATAACTAAAAGTTGAAGAGAAAAAATAAAGAGAATGAGGGGACCAGCAGTTGGTGTAATGGCTATGTCACTGGACTCCCATGTAGTCGACTATGGTTCAAGTCCCGGACCCGGTGGCTTAAACTCATGCTGGGCGTGTGTGCGTGCATGCCCAAGATCCCAAGAAAAGAAGGGATTGCGATGTGCCCATCCCCCCCCCGGGGGGTGGGGGTTGATTTCTTGCTTTCTGTCTCTCTGTCTCTCTCTTTCTGGTGAGTGCACATGCCATATAGCAAAAACCTCTCCAAAAACATTTTTTTAATTAAAAAATAAAGAGAATGAGAGTTGACAAAGCTCAGAAAATAATTAGAAAAGAAAAATCAATTCAAAAAAAAACTAAAAAGAAGAAATACCAAGAAAAACCACAGACATAATTATAATGAAGACAGATAGGAAACGAAATTTCAACATATATTTAATAAGAGTCCCAAAGAAGAGCAACAAAATAATGAAATAATATTATAATTATTGAATTAGAATACAAGAAGCTGTCTTGAAATAAAAACAGTAATTTTATCAACTGAAAGTGTGATAGGCAGCTCGTTAGTCATGGCGGGCAGCCCTAAGAGAAAAGCAAAAGGCTCATCTAGCTCCGGGCGCCAGGAGGGTGAGGCAATTTGCCACCTTCCTTCCTTGGGGCCTGAGGGAAGCACACAGGGATGATTCATAGATTTTTTCCTTATCAAAAAGACCTAAGCAAGCATTTTGGTCGATTCCCTAATTCCCATTAAGGCGATGGACTAATTGGGCAATCTAATTGGGGCAGCCTGGTTCACATCAGGCATGCGCGATTAGGTGATCAAGTTCCTCATTCTTTACCTGTGAGGAAGGTGCACAAGTGCAGGAAAAGAACGTGTGGATTCAAATTCAAAGGAAGGACATAGGCAGGGTAAGGGGCCTCCCACTAAAGAATATTCATGACCTCTAGTAATAGAATAACGGGTAACTAGTACCAAGCATGTTGCCACCTGGCAATATGCGAGCCCAAGAGCCTTTTTGGGTGTACTTCCTTTCTTTCTTTCCTTTCTTTCTGTTAAATCTTCTTTTCTACCTACTTCATTCGTGGTTGCAGTTTCATTTTGCGCCTAGGGACAGATCTCTAATTTTAGGGATCTGGACCCAAAGAACCAAGGACTTCATAATGCAGCTTGACACTCTCCCATCTGTTAACAAAAGGGCACGCCCAAAGAAAATCAACCTAAAATGCTCAACACTGAAATATGTTCTAGAACCTATGAAAATGTACAGAACAAGAAAAGAAATGATCTTTGGAAAATTTGAAAAGATTGAAAGAATACATAGTGTGTTCTCTACAACAGAACTGAACTAGAGGTGAAGAATATAAAAATAGGAAATCCCTTCACATTTATAAATTAAACATAACTGTAAATAACTACACCAGTTCTCAGTTTATTACCTCTCAGCCTTAAATTCTCTACTGCTTGCTCAGCTGTGACGGGCTGGTGCCTTTAAGCATTTCTCCTTTACAGTGAACATGGTGGTAAGCCTTGTCAGTAGAAGGCACTAGAGAGACGCTGCAAGAGGAAGGGGGTTTATTTTCCTATTTCTATCTGGTTTATTTGGTGTTTCTTTTTTTAAATCTGTATTTGTTTTTTTTTTATTTTAATTTGACAGAAAGGGAGAAAACGAGAGAGAGAGAGAGAGAATGCAAGCTGCCAGGTCCGGGACTCGAACTACAGTTGGTCACGTGGGAGTCCAGCTCTTTTAACCACCACACCACCTGGCGGCCCCAACTAATTTTGTTTTGTCTTTGGTCTCCTGGCCCTTGGCCTGGCTTCTGCTGGGTCATTAATTAACTGCACAGTTGTCTAAGGACAGGCCGCAGTGCTCTACCCTAGCAGCAGATCCGACTTACTCATTGTACCTCTGAACTCCTGCAACCTTGGTCTGGCTTAGTGATTTTCCTCCCTGACACTCCTGATGTGCTCATCATAAACTCTAGGCTGGTGCCCCAAGGCCTCCTCACTACATGTTACCTGCTACATGTTACCTGCAGCTTACCTATGCCTGGAGACTTGTTTTCCACAGCTCTCTGAATGGAGACAGTGTGTCCCAGGATTGTCTCTCCCGCCTGGTGAGACCC